TTGCTGCTTGTGCTTGTTTGGGGGTGCCAAAGCGGCAGAGCGGAGCCGGGCTGGAGGCTCGGGGCGTTTCAGGGATGCTGCAGTGGTACCTCGGTGTGTGCTGGCAGGGATGCTGTGGCCCAAGCAGTGATACATGTGGGACATCTGCGCATGGGACGGGCACCCTGGATGAGGAAAGGGCATTTCCTGGGCTGGAGCAGAGCCCTGTGGCTGCAGCGGAGCAGGGCCCTCTTGCAAGATGCCCTTGATCCCGTGCTGGTTTTACTGGCGGGCCTGCCATGGGTGAACCTTTTTCGTAGTTTGAGAAAACGGCCTCTCCTCCTCCCCTCCGCCTGCCCCAGCTGTGTGCTTGGAGCGTGTCCCGAGTGTCCCAGCGCTCGCCAGGGCGGCACCAGGCTGCTCCCTGCGGGGCTGGGATGAGCGTGCAAGGATGCGAGAGGGCAAAACTGCTTTGGGACCGGGAAGCACTGGACGATGTCCCGCGGATGCAGGGAATGCCCTGGCACGGGGCAGGAGCCAGAGCCGCCGGGAAGGGAGTGCTGGCCCCGGGGCTGCCGGCGAGCCGCTGTTTCCACCAGCCGCCTTAATCCATCATTATCTGGGCACATTTCGGATCCTTGCCAAGAGCAAGGTGGGAAGGGGGGGTTGCGAGCATGCTTTCCCTATTCCCATGCCATCCTTTTTGCTGCCTGTGTGTAATTAACAGAGTAATTAAAAACAGGATGAGTTAATTGGTATTCATTTATGTGGCAGATGTTTTTAATTGAGATACGAAACAATTTACCTGTTTACATAAACAATAGCAAATGAAGGCTTGTAAAACAGAGAGGGTTCTTTCCTCTTTTTTCCTCCCCTTGAAGAAACTCCAAATTGTCTCCCTCGCCGTCGCGCTGGCTCCCGTGCGGTGGTGGCAGCTCGGGGTGCTCGGGGGCATCCTGTGCTCCAAAACGCTGCCGAGGTTCGGGGTGGGAAATGGCCCCATGGTGCTGGAGGGAGGCAGGGATGCGCTCCGGATGGGATGTCGCACCCTGGGTCCCACTGGCACCGCGTGCGGCTGCTCGTGGCCCCTGGGATCTGCATGAACTGCCCCTCCGTGCGCCCAGGGGCTGCTGCTTGCCCAGGGCAGGACTGGTTTGTGCCTCGCGCTGGGGTTGATTAATCTGATTTCCTTTGGAAAGGCCTCATCTAGGCCACCTTGCACTGGAGCTTGGGTCTCCCTGCTCTGCTCCCCAAATCCATGTGGATCTTCCCCAAACGTGCTGCTCCACGGAGCTGCTGCAGGGAAGCGGATGCCGCCCATGCTGCTCGCTCCAAGCCCAGGGGGTTTTCAGGAACCGAGGAGGCAGGAGCGGAAACGCTGTGTTTTTAGGGATCGCAGCCCTACCCGCAGCATTCCCATACGGGATCTGGCCGCATCCTGCTCCCTGCGAGCCCTGGCCCTGCTCGGGAAGGGGCTGGCGCGGAGCGGCACCTCCGCGGGCCGCACGCATGTGTGAGCGCCGGGCT